TAATGTCTTTTTTGAAACACAATATAAAAAAATGAGATAAGCAATATAAGAAAAATCCAATTTCCACGAGCATATTGAAAAGTCACGCATACATTTCTCATAATAATTATTGTATAATAAATAACAATAATCTGAAATAAATCTTATAAATAGAATGTCAGAATTAATCTTAAAGAAAAATCCAAGATTTTTTACAATTCAAAAAAACGTAGCAATCTGAGTATAGTACATATAAGGAGAACCTGGGGTATAATGGTTATGGTTAGATTTTTTCAAGTTTTAAACATATTAAAGATAAATAAATCAACTTTGTTATATATTAAAATATCTTTTTAAGTATTTACTATAAGGAAAACTTAAGTTTTACTGCAAAAGTATAGATTAACAGGACGAAATTATTGTTTTGTGAGAGTGTGTCGTAACCTCACTATGTCATTTATGCAGGGCATAATGGGACACCACAGAAAACTTGTCTATTTTTAAAAAATTAATATTGAACATTGCTTAAAAGTGATTTAGAACATATAATATAAGTAAAAATATGTTGTTGCACTTTTAATTTTTAATTTTTTATTAATAATTCTATATGTAATGCTGATACATTATACACAAGGTATGCTGTTATTATATTGAACATAAATAAAAATGTGTTTAAGAAGATAACACAAATAAAATAATTCTCATCATTTTTATCTACACTTACACATGAATCATTTTAAACATAAAATAACACCAGTGCACCATTATGCCTCGAAGTACATAAATTTACTTTAGATAATATAAAATATCACAGATAATCAATATATTTGTATAGATTTTACTAAAGTAACAAGAAAAGATTATATAATAAGATAAATGTACTTATGACAATAAAAAATAGAATTTTGTTATTGCTTACCTTATGCGAACATACCAAAGAATCTGTAACTCATTCGCGGACAGTAAAGTGAACGCATTAAACAATTTTTAGCAATTTTCAGGTGAAAATAATATGACAACTAATAACAATATATAATAAGATACATCTAACAGTAACTATTGTCTGACAATTCATTACATATTAGCATATCTGTAAAAAGATATCGAGTACATCCCATTATATCCCATGGTTTCATTATACCCCAGATTCCCCTATAGAACAAACTTTAATAATAGCACATTTAATTATAATACGACTGTACGTTATTGATGTAATATTATCAGCTTATCGCCGGAATGCTCGATTAGCGAATAGCGTGACGAACTTGTTACAGACCGTTGCAGATTATATCGCAAATTCTGCACATGCGCGCGCGTGAAAATTTATCGCTGCGGAAAGATTAAACGATTATTTAACAGCAATATAACTTTTTATAAATCATCTTTTTTTCGTTCTTAAGGTGATTAACTTACAAAAAATATTCAAAGATTTTATTTACAAAATAAAAGAATTTGTCTATGCTTCGCTCAAAATATGGGTACATGATAATAATAATAAAATTTAAGATTTTATAAATTATTCAAAATTGAAGTAAACACCATATCAAACTTATTTTTTTAAATGTCATATTACAACATTTTAATATTTTACATTTTAAGTGCTATTGCTTTTCTCGAATCATCTTTACATTATTTTTATAAATTTTTTAAGGTTTTATCAAATTGTATTTAAAATATAATTTAATTAAAATGTCTTTATTTTTAAATCAATTTCTACTTCAAATACAAAATACAAATTTATAAAATTAAAAAATTTTTATAAAAATGAAGTAAATATTGATAATAGGACATCTATTTTCAATGACCTTGACACGTGTTGTCAAAGTTATGACCTTAACCTGAGTGACCTTCAGAAGGTTATAATCATCATTCATTATTCAAAAATTATTAATAATCAAAGTTAATTATCCTATTTAATATTTTAAATAGTAATATAATGTGTGTATATTTTCACGAAAGTTATAAACTTATGTGGAATCTCGCTTTGTATTGTAAAGTGCGTGTATGGACGTAGTGGGTTCCGCCCTCTCTTCTACGAGGAACTCCTCAACAAAAAATTAGATGAATAGGTTTGCGTTGAACCGCGTGAAAAATTGCAAACCAACACGCGAGATTCCACATATGTTTATAACTGTTAAACATGGGTTTACAATTTTAGTTATACTTCACAGGGGTTTATAACTTTCCACGCGAAACGAGGTTTCAACCCAAACCATGTAGGTTTACATTTATGTGAGCTTTTTAATTAATGATTGATCAATCCGAGATATAGCTTTTACGGAACAAAGTTGCAAAAATTAGCCTAATATATACAATTTCGTATGCATTTTGATAACACATACGTATATAGCCATAGAGCATGCAAATATATCAACATGTAATGCGATATTTAGATTAATTGCAAGTAAAATTCAATTTTAATTAATAACTTTTTTATTAAACAACAAGTGTCGGTTAAAACCTTCTAAAAGTCATTTAGGATTATGATCTTAACAACATATATCAAAGTCAAAGTCATCGAAGTTAGATTCCCTATTTATCAAAAGAAAACAATCAGCTGTAAAAGAGAGCTAATAGGAACTCAAGCAAAGACAAAACATCTCTCTGTTTCGTCGGTTTTTAATTGACAATTTCGTATAATTGCGATAACTATCACTGTCATAAATATTTTCAAAGAAAGAAAAATTCGAGAGACGAGAACCGATCGAAAAAGTCTATCCGATCCGATCAAAGACATCGCGACGTTTCTCTGATTAATTTACTGTAAACTTTTCAATTTTAAAGTGTATGAGATTCTTCGTATATAATTCGAGGCGAGTTGAGACAGAATTTCCTTTTCCAAACGAATAAATCACGAAAGCAAATAGCTTGCGAGGCATTGCAAGTCAATCTCGCAATATGGCATATTCAGTCTATTCAAAACACCTAACCAGTGAACTGTAAACCATTTGCTTTGAATGAGTAAGTCGTACATTAACGTTCGCTCTTCAATTTTTCTATAAAGATGGGAAAACTTATTTTATTTCGCATGTAGTTTAAATTTATTTTAGAAATTACAGAACGTCGAAGAAGCATAGCGAATAATCTGGCAAAGCGCATAACTATACTCATGCAGAACTATACAGCAGAGATTTAATAAAAGTAAATATTGTACATTAAAAAATATATGCGACAATATATGCTTATCAAATCAATTTTTACTAACTTTACTATACGCACGAAAATACTCTGCTAAACGAAGAATTTTATGGCATTATAAGAGATTATTTTTTAACTGTCAATTATATAATAAGTATCATACGTGTCACTGAAGAAACATTGTTTGAATGTGTAAAGCAAAAGTCATATATTAAAAATTATTAAGAAAGAATAGATTTCTTAATCTTCAAAATTCATTAACAGATTATATAATATTATCCGAAAGAAAAACGTTCATTAATAAAAAAATTCTTTGTTGATAAAATATATTACTTATTAATTTTTAATTCAATTATTTAAATACTCCATAAAATATAATAAATATAGAATATAATAAATATAAATATATAATATAATATAAT